TCGCTCCGCGTGTACTTGGCGCGAGACACTACCGTGTCTCTTGATATCAAACTATACAAACCTTTGAAGATTTCAATGAATTCTTCGTAACCCCACTCACGAAGTAAATCCAACGTCTTCTTATCCATTTTATTAGTGCACTAATACTGACAGATACAGTCTCCACTTTGTCCTCAGTTTTATTTATGTTGCCAAAATAACAGTTCTTCTTTTTTTTCTTTATAATCGTTGGGACGGCATCAGGTTTGGCAACTGAACGCCCAACTCTTTGAATTATATTATTTTCTTCAAAGTGATCCGAACATAATTTAGTAAAAGTCCTTAAAACTTTTTTATCAATTCCACACAAATCGAGCCATTGTTTGCGATATTCCTCTTTTTTCGGAAATCTGATTAAGAATAAATAAATTCAAATTTACAGTAATTAAATTTCGATAAAATTTATGAAATACCGACTGTACATTCTCTGTTGCCCGCGCGGCACGAGCGCCAAACCCTGTAAACCGTCGAGACGGAGAGCGTAGCCGCATGTGACGAAATATATCGATCCGCAACGATTGGTAGGATCGAAGGGGGTGGGCGCGTGGTAGCGGAACGACCGAGAGATCTCGGCGATTCTTCCGTCGGCCTTCGGCGGAATCAGTCCTGCGTAAATTATAATGTAATCCGATAATGTATAACGATCAGTTGTTTGCCGGTTAAGAATCATTGTTACGAGTAAATTCGACGATATGAATTGGTTAATATACTTGTGTAGACGGCGTACGTCTAATGATTGTGAACGAGTTGTGTGGGCCGTTTTGTGACGAATAGCGGCGTAATTGTAACGTAAGTCAAATTATTTTAATACACTCATATATCGTTTGATTATCTCTCTGATTTCTTTTGACTTCCACAATATTTCTTGGGTCTCCCGACGGAACTCCCCTTGTGTTGTCTCATGATTAAAGCTTGAAATCGCTAGCCGATTACCGAATATTAGGAGAATTAGATACGGGATATGAGTTTGTTAGTTCTCATAAAACTAACTGGCGCCCAATTAATTAAGGTAATTTCGTCAAAACTTAGAGACCTGGCAGCTATTGACCCAGGCCGCGCCAGGTGTCGGCATTATTCGTTAAATTCGTAGTCAGAAAAATAACGCCGGTCTCAAAGTGCTTCAACAAACGTTTGCAAAATTGTTCACAGAGGTTGAGGTTGATATAAAAGTTGAATATGTATGTATAAGTAATAACAAGAAATGAGCGATTCAAATTTATTCCAAATTATATGTGAAATAATTGAAATAATTATTATTATCACGATACGATAAGCACATTTAAAATTAAAGTTGCAAATAATTGTTCCATGAATTTAATGATAAAAACCTTTGTCGCTCAATTTCCTTTAGCTATTGATTGCTTTATTATTACAATTTATTTTAAAACCCTTGTTATTTTAATAAATTGTTAGATGTATACTTACTTATGTTTACTCTTCAAATGTTGTTTTAACAGTCTATAGTTCGATAAATAAGATATTACTCTATTACATTTCTTACATTTTGCTTCATATTTTGGTAAATCGAAATAATATTGCCATAACTTATTAGGTAATATGTAGTCTTTATCGGAAAATATTTCGTGTTTAGTGAGGTGTATTCTTGCTGCTCGTGTTAAGTGACATTTCCTGGATACTTGAATTTTATTTTTACATTTATTGCACCTTACCACTAAATCTTTTAATCGGTCGAAATGATTCCATAAGTCAGTGCTTTTTCGGTGCCATTAGGTGGTACAGTGGACACAAATCGCCGCAACAAACATTTGCAAAATTGGTCACAATAAAGGTCGAAGACAAAAGAATGCTTTATTTATTAAAATGTATGTAAATATGGATATATAATTTAAATTTGCCTAAATAAATTAGAAATAAAAGCCAATAATCGAGCAAAACAGTAGATGTCAAATTAAAAGTTCATTCTGTCTAATAATACATAATTCAATAACGTAATTAGACTCGTGAAAGTGTCAATAATTTAAAATCAGCGAATGCAAGTCGGGCGCGGAACGTGGTGCGCAAATAAAACTTAAAAAACCACGTATTCAAGTGTGATGAACGTTTCGGCTTTTCTTTCGACCCATCTTCAGCATTTATTGAGATAAGAAGATTCTATTCCTGCAGAGCTCGAGGCAGAAAGCTCCTTTCTTGAGGAGATGTCGTGACAAGCGAGCTGGTACGCACGGTTATAGTGGACATTTCCACCGTGAAAAGGAAAAGTATATTTAGTCAATCGTTAAAACAAAAAGAGAAAGGAGAGATTCGAGCTTACCTCAAGGTCTGCAGCAGTCAGAGAAGTACAAAAATTGAAAAGTCGCGATAAGATAAATTCGAAAAGTCGCACATTTCGGAAATTAGAGAAGAGTATAAAGTAAAGTTTTACGCATGTCGGTTGGAAACGAAATGTGACGGCGGGGTCGAAGATTCGTATGTCAGAAACCACGATTGATAATTATGAACAAAATACACGGCCGAGGAAGGGCGAACAAAGTTATAAATTATTTATGACGGACAAGTATGCATGGTGTAAACAGTCGGTGTCTGATTGTAAGTTTAAACTATGACGCTGTTGACTTATATATAAAACTTCGGATATAAGTCGCTTATAATAATATCTTTCATGATCCAAAATTCTTACGTTATCCCAATCAAAATCGTGGTCATTCTGAGTTCTGTGATCAGTAATCACAGAATGGACAAAACTGTTTCTGCGGATATGACTGCGATGTTCGGATATTCTAGTTTTTAATTGTCTGCCAGTCTGCCCCACGTATGATGCGTCGCAATCTCGGCAAAAGATCTTATAGACCACATTACTCATTGCGGAATCCGGGAGAGGATCCTTCTGAACTTTGATAAATTTGTTTAATTTGTTAGCACTGTAGAATGATAATTTTGTGTCTGATTCTCTGAAAATATCTTTGAATTTGACTGAAAATGGAGGGAAAAAAGAATGGTAAACCACGTTTCAGTCACATAGTTGTCAAGTGTATCGTCAGAATTTTTGAAATGTATAATACGTGTGTGATAAATAGAAAAGTGCGAATATGAGCGATTCAAATTTGTTCACAAAGTATGTGCGAAATAATTGAAAGATTATTATTAATTTAATACGATTAAATGACTACATTTATGAGCGGAACAAATAACTATATAAATGCTTTGACAAAAACCTTTTTCACTCAATCTTCTTTAGATATTGATTTTTATATTACATTTATTTTATAACTGTTGGTATTTTAAAAAGTTTTTAAATGTGTACTTACGCACGTTGATTTTGTTCTTTTCATCCGGGATGTACATTATTTAAATGGTTCTTTAAACTGGCTAAAATTAATGTTTTACCACATTTAGTACATTTCGCCTTTTCCATGTTTGGGATTTTTGTGACAAAGCGTCGTATGTCGTACGGTATGGCACTGTTTATGTTAGATATGCCATGCATAATCTTTAAATGTGTTTTTAAATTAGTTATAACCACTTCTGAGTGGTTTGACTCATCTTCTCTTCCACAATGGTTACACTTCGCGACCAAACGTGGAAAGTGAAAAGTAGAGTGCGTTGACCAATCAACGTCGAAATCATGATTTCGATTAGAAATTGATTCGATGGGATTCGATGGGTCATTTCTCGCTGGGGTGCGTTTCACTAGAGTCGATCCCTCTAAATGCATTTATCTACGTACATCTCGTAATTTTCTTTATCAATAAATTGTTTTATACTATTATAATTCATTTTATTAAAATATTATATTTATGGATGAAATTGACGCTATTGGTGGGTGCACGATATTTTTAAGTAAAAAATATCTGAGTTAAAAGAGAATTAAAGGCACGTCTATAAAACGCATAAGCTCGGAAATATTTATGACATCCGGTTTGCGATATAAAAATTTATCCTTATCGAGAAAGGATGCCAATTTTGCGAGACTCGCGCTCAGAAATTTGTACGAGTCGATGAATCTTAACTTTATATCGTTTCGCGAATCAGATTTTTCCGCGGTGTCTTTCACGTGTTTAGTAAATGAGATGTACTTTTCCTTTGTTATAGGCAGTACATCGATTGAGCTTTCGAACGCGGCATCTATTTCCTTGATAATAAAGTGGGCGTCATAGCCCGACAGATTGTGGAATATTACTGGGATGAAGTGAGAATTCAGATTACACGTCGAGTGTGCCGGACCTCTGTAACGCCCGGTTAGGTGGCATGATCGCGTACTTTATTATCATTCGGCGCGAACTGTTGTTCGCATATGTGACATTTCGTCGCGCTGTGAAATGTCTCCCACTCGTCTCGCGTTAGGTCTACCATGCATACAATGTCGGACAAGATGTTCTTTACGCGATGCGCCAATCCGTTGAGTTCCTCGACGAACCACGCGACGCAGTCCTTATCGCGACGAAATCGATACGTCGATAACGTTTCGTCGTACGAGCACTGTACGTAGTATGCTATACTACATACCCGATGATGTTGATAGGCGTATGACGCGTGTTCCGTCTCCGGTTGTGTCTTCTGCAGCACGCACTCTAGATCGGCGTACACCACGAAGGGAAGTCGCTCTTTCCTGCTGTGGTTCTTGAAGCTGAGCCACTTGTTGTCTTCGCTCGGTAGTCGGATTGCGCATTTGTTTACCTTTCGACATTCCACAGTGTGAGACTGCAACTTGTCGCTCGAACAAAAGTAGTGAAGACATCTGCAAAAAAAGAAACACAAATATTATAAATTTTTTTACAAAAAAAATATAAAATAATATATATTATTAAAAAAGTATAGGTACTTACCGATCGCAAAAGTATTTTTTGTTTTTTTTTTCTTGCTCAATTGCGAGCTCACGAGACGGGATAGATCCTTAATCCACGCGAAATGTCCCACGTTGTTGTCTCGTGGGTCCTGCATGTACAGTAGATTCACATGTTTTTTATCAATCGTGCGGTCGGTAAGCCGTATCGGGAGAACGTTTGAAGTCTTCTGTTTCTCGATGGTATAGACATCGACGAATATATCGTTGAGTTGTTCGAACTGTTTAATTTGACTCAACGTCATTGGGAACTCAATGTTTTGTAAATTCAGTACCCTTGAATAAAGCGGGTATGAAGATTCCCGTTCTGAATTTTTTTCGGCTGGATGCAGAGCAGCCGTCACGGCCCACGCAAAACACGCATTGTCCATAGACAGCACATTGATCACCGCGTGCTTAACTTTAATGTCTTTAGGCAATTCCAAGTGATACCCCGCGCGCAAAGAATTGTACTTGTTGACGCTCACCGTCAAATTGAGGATTCGAGTCAACGCCCACCCACTGTCGCGTTCCTGGAACTCCTCGAGTTTCGCTAATGTGGGCTCGATAACGTGTAGCTCGTACCACTCGCGCAAGTGCGATGTACCACAGAGTTCTATGTTATTTGTACATATACTCTTATTTTATCACGTTTATCACCCGCCACAAACTCCCCGTTGAACGCGGTGTTTGCTTTGACACAGTTATGTGTTTTTATAATGTCTCGCACTCGCTTGCACACGACGCTGCAGGCGTCTTCCAAAAACTGTCGCGGTTCTATATGGTCTGTATTAATTACCGCACCGGTCATTATACGCGTTTCGAATCCGGCGTCGATTTCTCGCCATACGAGTTTTGTCGCGCGCGTGTCGCCACTGTGTTTCATCTTCTGCCGATTGCGATGAGTTTAAAAACACCTCACAATATAGTGAAGAATTCCGTACGCATGACTCATCTAAAGAAAATACGTGCTCTAGTATTTTGATACCTCGGGAATTTTGGGAGACGTACTTAAATAATGGTACAAGGTTACTCAGTGGCTGGACCGACGCGTTTAATGATTATTTTAAGAAGTCATTTCCAAATTGCGTCTTGCGCTTTTTATTAGAGCATAAATGCTACAATAATAAAAAATTGAACACAAAGTTTTTCGATAAAATAAAAAATTAAAAAAAAAATCAAGAATTTAAAAATATTTCAGAGTTATCAAGAATTTAAAATGTATCATATAGCCTTAACCCTTATAATTTAGGCATCATATACTGAGATAGAAACTTTCTGGTACTGGGGTGCCAAAATTTTGCAAGCTGCCTATAAACGTTCTTTCATTCTTTTTTTTCTTTAAAAAATATGAAATATGAAATATGATGTAATAGAATCTAAGTATAAATAAAATCTAAATCTAAAAAAACTTACTTTTTAATATAATATTTCTATAACGTTTTTTAGACGTTCGATCTGTTTCTTGTTATCCTTCAGCTCCGATCGATGTTTTCGACGCATGTTTGCAATTGTTTTGTGAAAATCTTTTATTAGTTTTTTGTAGGAGACTATCTTTGTCTTCATTTCTTTTTCTGTTTTTTCCATTTTCTTGATAATTTCATCTCACAACTTTAGTTCAAGAGTCAAGCTGTCATTTTCATTTTTTAAATTTGCTTTTTTCTCTGATAACGCCGCTTGGAAAATTAAAGTATATTTGGTGGGTAGTTTCTTCTGTGGTCCTGGCGTTCGCATAATCACCACCGCTATGGATAAATTGTCTTTCCAATCGCGACTTCACACCCTCGAGGTGTGGGGACCTGATTTGGTCTCGTTGACCCGGTCGTCTTCCTTCGCACGTTTCGCCGCCTGCTTCTTTAACTTGACCAGGGGCGTCTCAAGTATCCTTTGTTCGACGATGACGGGCCTTCCTCCGTCCATTGCCGCTTTCGTGTCACTCGCAGTAGCCGTTGGCTGCAAGGACATCATAGAGATCAACTGCTATATTTGGTATACCGTGTTCAGGAAATTCTATAGGAAATTCTAATTGCTCAATTCGCTCGTTTATTTTTAGTCGCTTTCCTATAAATATTGGGTACGCTATATAAGATTAATTGACTCAGTTTTACATGTAATCTTTTTATTTGAACATAAGCAATATTTTCCACAGTTCAAACATTTTTTACAACTTAAACAAACATTTTCTTTATTATTTATTATTTGGTTAAATTTACCTCGGTTATTTCTTCTTCTTTCTCTTCCTCGAGATTTTGTCTGTGTCGCCACACTCCGTATGTCACCTCCGGGCGTTGTTGCTCTACGGTCTGCGTAGCTTGTTCCGTAAGCTCCTTTAATGGATTAGTGACGCTGCTTCGAGGAGAGGAAGGTAAAGGAGAGATAAGTTTGGGACTCGAACTCTTTTAAAAGAAACTTCAACTCAGGCTTCGGCGTAGAGGTTACTGGAAGAAAGGAAATTTTCGTTTTTGGTGAAACAAAGAGAGTTTGTCGGGTGTCACCAAGAATTGGTGAATGACCGTGAGAGCGTCCTGCGCCAGTTAGCGACTTCGCGCTTAAAGTTATATTACCTCTTGGTGACTGAGCACCGGAGGTCTGAGGACTTCGAAGAGAAGGCAGAGATCTTGCCGTCGAGCGTCGTGCGTCGATTTCCTAGCGGCTAGCACCGGAGGGCGGATCTATCACGATCACCTTCCTTGGAGTATCTGCCACCACACGTCTTGCGCTGGTGGCAAAAAAAAACACATTTTATTGTTACATCTTCATTAAATAAACGGAAAATAATGTTGTCAAGTAACCTTTGCCGTTTGCCATTTGATATATGCGACATGTATTTTCTTTGTTTGCAATTGAAAATCGCAAGTCCTATTCCCCAATTCCGTGTTCAAACCTCTCTCGATGAGCTCATCAACGCTGAGCTTTTTTCCCTACGCGCAGCACTTGTTGAGCCACTCCGTTTGTACTTCTTAACAATATTATCGTTGGTGGATCTATCGCCAATCTTTCGTTTATAGACTAATGTAGGTAAGGGAAGTCGGCAAATTGGATCCGTAACTGTGGAATAAGGATTGGCTTGATTTGTCTCTGAGGAGCGGAGATTAAATTTTTTGATAAGTAAACAACGTTACGTAGCATGCGGGTCTACGTGTAATGGGCGGTCTTTGAAAAAACACCCGTATATCGCGGCGGCAAAAATGGAGGATTTAAATGTCCGTGATAGCTTTTGGAAGGAGGTGAGTTCGTTGAGTGAGGTAACGCGCCACGCTCGAGGATGGATAGTCTCGCCGTGCTCTGGGAGTGCCTGGGCGATAAGGATCGATTTTGGTTGCTGTTTAACGGCCGTAAATTTTCAATCGTACAACCACGTTGTCCGCTTCTGTCACGGTGTCCATCCCTGCTGGGAGCGTGTCGGGCTTGGTCGTATTATTGTATTATCGTATTGATGTATTATTTATGCTTCATATTTATCAATATTTTATTTGCACGTTTTTGGTTAAATATATACTTACTTGCAAGCTCGCAAGCGATGACTTTGTAAATTTCGAATATCATCGAAATGTTTTATAATTTTGTTGCATGTTCTGCACATCGCATTATTGTATTTTATTATAAACTTCTTCCATATGCCAGGTTTTTTTTTCACTTTTTTCCCCATTTTAACCGTTCTCTCTAAAAAAGCGCTTGACATTAAATGTGATCGCTTGATGTAATCGTTTGAAGAAGAGCTTACAAAATTGGTCAAAAAGGTCGAAAAGAGAAATATGGCTTGATCGGGAAGCGGGTTTGGCTGACGTGCCGGGTCTGGGCGAGGTGAACCAATCGGCGTTTTCGCGCCGGTTCCGGGATCCGAGCTCGGTCCCGTGCCTTGGCCTCCTGCGGTGCGAGCTGTCGTGGTCGTCCTCTTCGGCCACCATTCAACTGATAGGCGAATCCGACTGTTTAATTAAAACAAATAAAACATATGTATACCTCTCCTTTCTCAAGTCACGCAGTGCCCAATTGCTACGTGTGGAAGAATCAACAGCAATATTTCAAACTGTGGTTGCGAGTTCATTAGGAGAAGCACACAAGAATTTGGATTTTCACAATCAATAAATAATCCGTAAGGTTTTATATGTTTTTTGAGTTTTGCGGCTAACTCTTTCTTCATCGCTACTTCTTCTCGATCGTGACCATATTTCATGGTTGCAGTATCAATACACAGAGGATACAAAATATTTTTTATTATTGTTGCGCAAGACGTTATTTTTTCCCCATTTTTTGATGTCTTTTTAAAATGATTTTGCCGAAGTTGCTCAAACACATGATCCGAAAGATCTGGTTTTTGCGATCCGGGGTCTATTTTGATGCTTTTTGGTGTGTGTGGCAAAAATGCAATACTCGTTGCGTTATATTTAATTGACCTTGAATTTGATAAAAAAATTGATGATTTTGATTTATATTATCAAAATTATAATGGCGACTTGATTTTCGCTTGAGTCTCTTTTGCCTTTCATCTGTTTTTCGAGGTTTTCTGGTTCTCGCAACTTTTATTTGCCGTCGTTTCTCCCGTGTTTCGACAATAGGAGGAACTGTTTTACCCATTCTTTCATGCAATTGTCTTTAAATTTTTTGAATTCCTTCCTTTATTATGTTCTTATTGCGAAGTAAAAAAAGGTAAAAAGAAGGCGTCAAGTGTTAAAAAATGTAATTCTAATCTAAACAATGCAAATTATTTTACAAATATATCTATACTCACAAAATTTTTGAAAATTACATAAATATTTTATTTAATAATTACTCGTCATTATTTCGTTTTTCTTTGGTTTATGTCGGGTTGCGTCCTTGTTGATAAAATTTTATCGAAATCCGCTGTCCATTGATTTTAAAGTAATTAATCTGCATTCATATATGGAATGATTAAACAAAAAAAATTGATTGTTTTGCAATTATATATAAAATGATTAAACAGAGAAAAATTTGTT